GTCAAGCAAGGTGCACATAAGTGGCAAACACAAGTTGTGTCCCGATATGAAAATGAACTCTGTGGAGGGTTATTAGCCTTCACTTCACAATTTTCTTGTACAGTGTAGCTTCCATTCTTTATCTATATGTGGGCAATGATTTATTGATTTTCGGTTACATGGCGGTAGCAGAACAAGCTGAAAAGAAAAACACGTTCACATTTTCAACAAGTTTTTATACGCCTAATATCTTAGCAACATTTTTCAAATTCAGAAGACATGATGCAGCAGCAAAAGCAATACTTTAAATTGACCTGTCCAAATAAATAAATAAAGTTTTTTGTTTTGGGCTCAAACTTCTGAAAACATGTTGTTTCTTTAGCTGCGAGGTGGGATCTATGTTCCCCAGCTCATTACCATTTTCAAACGTTTTATTTTCTCAGCAACGTTTCTCCCCTGAATATCTAATGTTAAGCTTTGTTCCCTGTTTTGTTTGCCTTGGTCAATATGTTGAGCACTTACAGAGTAACTTCTCCCATTATTTGACCAACTCTTAGGTTGTAGTTCGTCTTTCAGCCAGTAGGTAGAGATGTTCATCTTTTTGGATGGAAAAGGACAATCTGAGGAAAGAAATCAAAATGAGGGTGCATGAACCAGGTAAGTAGGATGCATTGGTTGCTATAGACATGCTTTAACGCAAACATTACATAGTCAGTCGTTGACAGCAACTTTGAATAGAATGGGTTACAATACTCCTGTTTTGCGGTGCTGAATAAATGAAAGAAAGTGAGCCGACTTTGTTAACTGTTTTTCTGCCCAGCTCTCTCCCTCAGCCAGTGGAAGATCAGCCAGTATCCTTTTAATTTCAATAAACTAAGTAGCTCTGAAGGGCCTCTCTGTCACTGCCTGACTGATAATAACACATCTATCTCTGTAACCAGCTGTCATATTTTACTTTTTCCAGGGATGGCTGAAGCAAATATATTTTATTTCCTGTTCACTTACAGATTTATGATTAGAACGAGTGAGTATGGTACATAGCCTATCACACGTTGCCTTTTTTCTAAGTGTTTTTGATGTACTTGTAGAGTACAGTGAATGTGTCTTTTGTGGTCAGGCTCGGATCAGTGTTGTCCTGTTGATGCCATGGTTCATTGTCTGTCTGCTGATCTTGATTTCAATCCATAACATGGAATTTAACATCGGAAACTCCACACATATTGGATCTGTTTATACATTTCCCATGACACAACTAATCGCATTAGTATACTTTAACCATCTCTGTCTAGTAAATGCCCATGTCTATCAAATACTTGACCCCAGACCTTATGTTATAATATTTTAGTTTTTTTCTTTTACAACACAATAGTCTATGGTCCTAACTGAGAGAAGGGACTTTGTTTTGGTTAACCTCAAAGTGACGGTGTTGCATACGTTACTGTAACGGAAGTGAGTCTCCACTACTTTTGTGCAGAGCTACATTATTGACATTTTTGCTGTATATCAGGTTGTGCACAGTTAGTCATTGTGACGTTTTACACAGGAACACAAGGGCTAACCACTAAAGTAATGACACAAGCAAGTATTAAAGTCTTTATTGAATGCCGTTATGCACGTTGTTTAGATGCCTGGTAATGCTTGGTAAAACATAGGCCTAATTACAATGTGTGATTAGCAGAGCGATCTTTCCGTGGCTCAATCAATCAACCGTGGCTTCAATGCAATTGTGTTAACTTTGTTAAAATTGTAGCCTATATTAAACAGCTATCATGTACTAAACCCTTACCTGTGCTGTCCTGTCTCTAATCTCAGAGTGCGCCATTAAAGCATTCCCGGGGGATTCAACACCTGTTTATGGTTCCGGGAGGGCTACACCAAGTAAGAGTGAGTAGGGGTGGTGGTAAATACATGTCACATTTATGTTTGGTAGCTTTGTTTTTTTTTGCATGTATTCATTTGCAGGTTAATATAATTATGTTAAGTGTTTTTATTTTATGTTGAATTATCTTTGAAATGTGTTTCAGTATTTTATCTAAAACAGGTCTGACTATATCACCCCTATTTTTGGTAGCACCTAAGGGTGGGGAATATAAAAATACTGCTCCTTTTTCTTTTGTAATAGTACCTGTGCGTAGTAGTGCGGGCTTGGGAACAGGTCATGTGGCCGAGTGTGTGCTGCCATCAAAGTGTAAATAATATAAAATTGATGCCCACATTTTGGGACTGCATCTGCGTCTTTACTTTGGGTCTTGACGCCTTCCAAGGTCAGTCTAACAATGACGCAGTCAGGCATTATCACAAGCATTGTTTTACTCGTAGTCTTTGTCTTAAATGTAGTCTTAGCTTTTATAATTGTAGCCCGCCTGGCCAGGTTAGTTCCACTATCTTTAGTTTCCATCAGACATTTTATATTAAACTTCAACAGCCATGGTCAATGGCTTTCTTAGATTATGTGACATCTGAGATCACAAACCGCCTTTCTTCGACAGTTGAATGTCAACATAAATGATAGACAGGTCGGTAAATTGCAATATCTGGTGTCATACACAGATAACATCAAATGGAGAGACTGGCCTACATTTAAGTCTCCATTTATTTGGATTGAAAACATATGCCTTCGTAATTAGCATCTCATACGTACGTTTTGAAACACCTGACTGCACTAAGCTTTCCTTTTGTTCACGCTTTTGTCCCTGAATGAAATAAGCCCTGGTTCTCTTTAGGATTTGTTTGAATTATTGATATGGGTGGCATTCATTCAACTGAAACTGTATACTTTGTAATATTGCCTCATCATTAAAATGTTCCTCCAGCTTCACAGAAAATAATGGCTTGTTTAGAAAAGATGGATATTGTCTATTAAGGTGGTTGATTGTCGGAATACATTCATAAATCAATGCGGATGAATACCCGTGAAAAACGTTATTTACAAGATTAATTTTGGACATATTTACATTGTTAGACATAATTGTTCTTTTCTAATAATTGTTCTGTTCAAATGTACAGTAATAACAGATTGGTAAAGGTGCTTTTCTTGGTGTCTTTAAGTGTCTTCTAATGAAGTCACCTTCCTTTCATATGAGTGTAATATTGAATGTAGGCCTATTATCTGAGATGACAGCCTTCTGCACAACAACAAATAGGTTTTAGCCTGCTGTGTAAATGTGTGTTACTATCATAGGTTACTACTGATTACTTTTATTGAACATACAGCATTTGACAAGTCTCATATTTGTTCATCTATTCTCCAGCAGAGGGCATACTCGTTTTGATTAACACTTGAGGAGGGACTACACTGATTTAAGTACAAAATAAGTAACATTTTATTGTCTTTCAACTTTAGGAGTATATTTATTTACAGTATATTTAGTACATACACATACAAATAACCCTCGAGTGTTCTTATGATCTATAAAGTGCTTTTAGTTGTTCACAAATCTCTTAGAATACCTGACATTTACACAAGTAAGAACTACTCTAGGTTAAAAAAGTGTTTTTGAATTTATATTAATTATTTTAATTAGCTTAATTGCATGTGATGTCAGACCACCACTAATCCTCTGCTCTTTCCGGTGAACCTCTCCGATTTGTATTGTTTTAGTTATCGGCCATTTCCTAACCCACATTCTTTCCATAGTGATTTCTCAGCACGGACAGCTAAAGTTAATATTCAAACCTAATGGCAAGGTCTCCAAAGTAACGAGTTTCAAAACAATTCCCATTTCAGAGGGCCTGAGCTTGAGTGAAGGCCGAGCACACGGAAAAACACTTGTGCATGTCACTGATTGTAGGTAAGGCCAGTGTGTGTGCAATTTGCAAGCATTTATATATTTTCATTTTCATCGTATCTCACTGCTTTGTTCTAACACTATCACTCAGGGGATGGTCACATACTGTAAATTAAGAGGACAAATGCATTATCTTAATGGTTTTCTGTGCAGGGTCAGCTCGCTACAACTGGACAAAGCGTGGTCATTCTTACCAGTCAGTGACATTGAAACCTGGGCAGTGTTCCACTCTGTTGCTCCTCTTTCATTCACTCTGTTGAGTCCAACTTCGACCAGCCACTGCTTTCAGCACAAAGTAAAAACCTGTTTAATTCAAACTATCCCACAACTTAAAAGATTCAAATATACCGTCTGTAGGCCTTTTTATTGCATATTTAAAGCATTTTTGAAAGATTTGCATTGCTATATAAATGTTGGTATGTCACATAGGGCACCTCATGCAAAGGTCTTCTTGGGTCAAGCTTCAGGGGTCTCAAACTCAAGGCCCGGGGGCCAAATCCGGCCCGCGACTTCATTTTATGTGGCCCCCCAAGAGCTTGCAAAGAATATAATACGTTTATTATACGGTTACATTCCACTTTACAGAAGCAGGTTGCCCATAAACTACATGTCCCACAATGCATCTCGTTTTGTGACATGCGCACTGAAGAGACTTACAATTATTTGCCCTGGACTTCTGCTTTCAGACGTAGTTAATTACTAAGTTATTATCCTATCCGATAATAATCCAATTCAGAGGCAACAATGTAATATAATACATTATTTTATATATATATATTTATATAGTTACAACCGGCCCTTTGATTGCAACCTTTATGCGAATGTGGCCCGCGATGAAATGTAGTTTGACACCCCTGCTTTACAGCAAACGGCCCCAAGATAAATCAGACATTCACAAATGAATAAAAAAAAAAAAGTAATTTCTGTTTCTTGGAATTATGTAGTGTTTTCCTATTTTTGTTATTGTAAAATACAAAACGAAATTAGTGGGGGCAATCTTTGGGTGAAGTTGCTAAAACGAAGCACATGAAGCTGCTCAGTGTGTGTTGTTGCGTCTTTATATAATGTGGGCTTATAAAACATGTGAGTGTGTTGCATCACCAGCATGCATCCAAACCAAAGCATTCAGATTTAAGACAGTGTAAAAGGAGAGAGAAAGGCTCGAGCTGAACCCCCCCCCTCAGTGAAGTGTCTGTGGAGCTCCGCCCCCTCAGGGTAGAGTTACCTGTCACTCCTCAGCAACTGTGTCACTGCGAACCGGCAACAAACACCTGCGCTGTCACTGTGACTCACAAACACAGGACGACTACTTTACAGTCCAGGAATTCATCGGTTTTACTTCAAAATAAGCGGCTGCAAATATCTACAGTTTCCTGCGGAGTTTCCTGTCCTGTCGGCATGTGATGGCAGGCTGAAGCTTCCGGCGCTGTCTCAACCACTGCTGTCATCCTGAGCATCCCGTCCCGAAAACACCACTGTGAGTTCATACGAGGGGTAAAATGTATACTGTCTCTTTCTTTGTGTCTGTTTACCTTCGTTGTTTTCTTTATTGTTATGCGCATACATTTGATTCCCACTTGACAAATCTGAACACAAGTTCCACTCACTGACAGAAGTTTCATCATCCAGGAGCTGGAGTTGCCTAATCGCTGTTAACGTTTTAGAATTATGTTTTTGAGAGATTTAATGACTTCATTGTGGTTTAAAATCGGTTGCATTATTTTTTTTAGATGATCTTTTATGAAATATATTTTGTGTTATGAAATCTCTTAATATATATTAAATATCAGCACTAAAACGATGTTTTGTGATCAAGGCTGCAACTTGAAAACTGCAGCCTTGTAAATTGTAATTTCGTAACACTTGGTTCTGCTTGTTGCAGGAGAGCAGAAAACAACATGATGCTGTACCATACATTTAATTCTGATGTCACCCTCAGCCTTAATGACATAATTTTACCCTGTAATGAGAGGACTGGGCTTTCATTTGGGTTCTCTAAGTTTAGGAATAACCCCAAGACTACACAATTACCACTAACATTAGAAACAGTCATCAATGTGATTATTTCACAGTCTTGTCAGTAGTGTTTTGTCCTGACACTGATTGTTGTTCTCGAAGTGTTGAGAGATGTATATGGATGTTATGTGAAGTAAAGGGATCTGATGCATGTGACCTGATTTCAAACTGTGCTGGTTCTCTGTGCCCAGATAAGGAGACCTTTATACCCGGAATTTATCTGTGAAATCATCAACAGATCTCGAAACAGTGTACTTTGATTCAGCCAGATAGCTGCATGGCGTGACATAAAATACAAGCCGATAATCATTTACAAAATGCTTACTCAAGAACATAAAGCAAAGTTCTGATTATTCATATTAGAGAGATATCATGTTATTGAGACACATTAAATAAGCTATCAGTCAGTATTATTTTTGTAGTATAACAATGCCAGAAATGTGTGTCAGCCTCATGTGACCTCATATTCTCCTGACCCAATAGTCTGTGTTTTGTGCAATGTCATTGTGAAGTGAACATTTGGATAACATTTAATTGAAACTTGCCTGACTGCATGTCAGCAGTGATTCTTGTTAGTCTTTATTAATGTTCTCTAAAGTCCTCAGTTTAAGCTTTAGGTCTGTAAATGTATTTATATTTGTTGTCGGAGCACTTTTTGTTGGGAGGCTAAATGTTTAGTGCTCCTTTGCTCTTACAGAGTTATTATGTAGTAGCATTAACGTGTTTTAGACTTTCTGCTCAGAGTCTTTGACATGTTTACACTTGAAGCCAGATTGTTGTCATCCAAAACAGCGATCATGAGATCCTGTGAGCACAAACTCTGACTTCACAATCCTATATCCAGTAAAAAAGATGTTGTCATGTATTGGTCAGGGTTGCTAAACTTGAAGATTGAAGGTTGTAGTACATAACCAGAGATGATCTGATATGTCACATTGATTTATGATATTGTTATTGATGTATGTGTAAAGACTGATATGTTGCAGTTGTTTTTGAGGATGAGTACGGTAGATGATGTGTAATAATAATAATCCAAAATGATACTCAACATTTGAAAAAAAGATGGGGCTGAACTAGGATTCAGAAGTAATCACTTTTACTTTCCTCACTCTCAAATGATTTGTTGTCACAAGAGGCAGCCTACATATGACTTACCTTACTTGTCTCACCTCATTCCATTCAAATATGGAGATCAAATTAAATAACCAGGAATGTATGAGTCTAAAATAAGCCTTTGCACACTCTGCTTCAATTGAATGTAATTGTAGTTCTTCCACCAAGTGATTACATCTGAATAAAAGGTTGACAGTATTGAACAATAAGCCCCTGAAGCTGATTGGAGAAGAGGTGTGTGCAGAGCCTCTCGCCATGAGGGTGACAACACATGACACCCAGCCTGTCCTGCTCCGGCTTTACCTCCCTCCTGAAACCTGGCTGCGGGCCAGAGCTGGGAACAATAGCACGGAGGGATGATGGCTAGAGAGATAAGGATAGAAAGAGGAAGTCTATCTTTTCTGCAGGCATACTAATGTAAATGGTAAAAGGATTAGTTTTATTTGCCTGATTGCATATATATATCAGTGTATGATATCATGTGTGGATCTGAAATCAGAATCGTACTTTGTTTGCATTTACTTTGGTTACTATCTGAGAAAGCTGTTGTTGTGATTTAGCCTCTCTTTGCTGCAGGAGTTATGAGCGGGTTATCTGTAAAGGGCGATTATGTTTATGATCTGCTGCGTAGATCTGCTTGAGTGACCGCACCTCACCTGTAACCTACATCTTTAATGCACCATTTTAATCTCATTTACTTAACTGCTGCTTGTTATGCAAAAACACTTTTATACTTCAGAGGAAATGGCTGTCTCATAACGCTGCATGTGCACATAGTAAGACTCTGGTTGGAAGACTACTGCGGGAGGCATGCTCAGTGTCATAAGGTCACTATCCTGCAGGTTGTTTTTGCAGGACACTTAAAAGGTGACATAGGATCCAAACTCCAATTAATAATACAAACCGAACAGGTTGCCTAAAGGGATACATGGTCCTTTGGAGTCTAAAGCTCACCCAAGGTAGAAGGTGATTATTATCACCAGTGTAAGCACAATTCACTTTAACGTATGACCACTTATTATTGGTTGTATAATATAAATAATCGTTTAGAAACCAATCAGAGCCCAACCTGTTGTGTAACTGCCCAGGGTCCATGGGTGTTTAGCCACGTTGTGCTGCGGACCTGATAATATTACATAACCTTGTCACAACATGCCTTGACAGACAAGTCAGAGCCTCCAGGCCCAGACGGAAGGTGTGGGAGGGTTCAGTTCTCTAATTTCCTGCTCCCGTTTGCAGATTTAAATGTAGCACTTGATGTTAATGATCAAATACTGAGCATTGCTGACTCTAATTAATAGCAGCTATGCAGATATAGTCATCAACATAAAGTGGATCTTATTACACAGCACATATCAGCCTGCTGTCTGCCTTTGTCCCAGAGAATTCCCCCGACTACCAGCAGTCCAGGCCCAACACCTGGCTCCACACAGTGGAAGAACAAGCTGTTTAGTAGACTACGCCTCAACTTTTCCTACCTTCTACAACCTTGATGTGGTCCATTTGGCTTTATAAGCTAATCAACAAACTGAAATGAGAGAGAGAGAGAGAGACAAAGGGAATAATAGCTGATTCAACAGGCTTTTAAAGGTCTTAAAGGATAAATAATAAATGTTTGTTTGGGTGGAAACCAGCCACCTCCCTCTCTCAGTCACTCATTTACACCCACTCTCTTCCTTTATCTGATTTTAATCCTCTCTGTTTCTGTCCTCAGGTGGATGTCTTAAATCATGAGTGCCCAGGGATCTCCGTCGAGGCAGGCCAAGTGAGTGTCGCACACCTTTCTGCTTCCCCACACATGTTTACCTTTCTGTGTTACTGTCACACATGTGAGGAAGAATCACTAACCTAGTATGTAGAAGGTGGTGTGGGTCAGGGACCTCAGGAACAGAGCGGCTCTGTTGAGAATTGTTTGCTTTGCCTGGGCTCATGGCTCTCCCTCCATGCCCCGCACACATCCTCTCTCCCTCCCTCCTCTCTCCCTTTTCCACTCTCCCTCTCTTTTCCCGGCTGGTCCATATGCTCAGAATCTCAGGCTAATCTCACCCAGTGCTAGACAGTCTGCTCTCTCCATATATCACTCCTATTTTGTGGGAAAAGGTTCATGAAAGTAACAGTGTGGGAGTTTCAGAGGGTTTGATGAAGAGCATGAAGCGTAACCCCGTCTCCTCTTCTTGTCATTTCAGTGGAGTGGCCAGATCGGACAGCAAGATCAGCGCCAAGGCCCTCTATGGTGAGTGACTGCATGGAGCTGGGAAGTTACTTTCTTTGTCAGAGGGAGTATTTTATGTTGGCTTGTTTTCAAGACTTTGCCTTTACATGCCCTTCACCTGCAGTAACACCTGCCCTTCTTTTTGTGGCATGAGTCAACACAGACTGTATACGGTTCACAGCTCATGATTAAGGAGCTTGTAACTCTTAATTGTCAAGAAATAGTTTTAGGAACACTTGCTCTATGTTGAATGGTACTCAATGTGTTGTTCACCACCCATTATTCTTGCTTTACTTAGGAAAAACAATATTCTACAATTGTGTTATTGTCAAAAAAAATCCTATGAAATGATATGATATATGATAGCAATTATTTTCATCTACTAATGAAAGCCAGAGACAGAACTACATTTCTGTCTAAAAACAAAAAAAGCTTAGTAGGCCTAGTAGTAGTTTACTGTTTATTTTTTACTCAATCCCATCGTCCTATGACGTTAATATTCTCTTAGACACCAATTGTGTATTGATCCCCATTTGAAAAAAGTCTTAAAGTACATTTAAGACTCACTTAAAATCGTCCATCTTTGTCAAATATAAAGCCAGCTCTGGTGACATATTTCCAAACTGTGAACAGTCAATCTGTGTGGATCAGCACTTATTGATTTGATCCACACAATTTTTATGCGGATAACTTGTCGGGATATCCTGCACGGTCTCCCTGCAGCTGGTTGCTGCATCCCCCGGGCTCACAGGACTATCACAGTCCCCTCCCCAGAACACACACACTGATAAGAGAGGGCCAAGGTCCTGCTGAGGGGCCCCGTCCTGCTGACAGCTCTGTCAGACACTGAGTAACATGGGAGGGGGGGCTGAAACCTCCAGAGGTTTGTGCTTAACCTCCAGAGCATGCTTGGATTTGTAGCTGCAGGCTTTTGGTTGTGTGTTTGCAGTCACATTAGCAGATGTATTATCATGCTGTCTGGCTTTCAGTATTTGTGGTTATTTTGAGTCAAAAAAATAAAATATCTGTTTGTGTTATTATAGGGCTCTATTTATATCGTCAGGCTGCCTCACTGACCTGTCATCCATGTGATGTAATTCAGAAATACTGTTATGACTTGACTATGACTGGCATAACTTTACATTTTATTTTAGCATGTTGCATACTTTTGCTAGGGTGTGTGTGTGTGTGTGTGTGTGTGTGTATTTTAGACTAAAATGTGCTCTGTTGCATTAAGAGGGAGTGCAGGGTGTGCCTGTTTGTAATGTGTGGTTGGAACAGGGTGGGGATGCCCATGATTTGCAGGTGAATAAAAGACGCATTGAAAGTGGACAGGAAGAGGCGGACTCCCTTCTGGTCCTTCCTGCGCTGCCTCAGACATTAGCTCACTGGCTCCGGCCAGCACCTCCTTCCACTCTGCCCACAGAGAGGAACATTGTACAGCATATGATAGGTCCAGATAGAAACCTAAAGTATGAAGGGACAATCTGCTCCTGTGCATGGATGCACTGTTCCAAATATAGATTGGCTTCAAATGACGCATTATGGTATTGTAGGGATGCAACATGTTCCCAAAGCATCTGACTGTGCACCTTGTTGTGTATACAATATTTTTGTCCTGCAACTCATCCAAATAGCCACAGGACACACCCACTCAAATAACCTGCTGTACAGTATGTGTGACCAGGCTCTGCTGTTTGTCATTGGCTGGTCTAATCTGGTGTGGCAGATGGTCTCCACTACCTTCTCACTGCAGGGTGGTAGCAGCAGGCCTGTCCCAAACCAGAGAGGAAGGAGTGGGGACATTAGTGGGCACCATAACAGTAGGAGATATTTGGATAGATAAAGGTCTGCTGCTGAATAAACAGAACAACAGCTAAAGTTCCTGCCCAATCTCCCTTATGCAAAGCTCCTCATCCTTCACACCGTGCAGTGCAGCACACAACTGATGCACAGGTCCTCCCACCTGATGTGTTATCAGCAGGTTCAGGGCAGAGATGTGCCACATCAGATTCATCATCCCTGGACTTCAGACCCTCCATCAGCTTTATTAAGTTTCTCGATTTGTTGTTGAGGAACAGGTCTCTGTCAGGTAAAATGTGTTTTGGCTAAATTACTGAAATATTAGGTGGAAAATCTCACCTTGACCTCATCCTACCTTTTGAAGTCTGTGTATTTTTGTCTGTGTATGGATCGAATACCTAGTGTAATTTCTATTGCTATTAAAGCAGAGTTATCAGTGTTTTTTTAAAGAAAAATACTGGTATGTGCAGCGGATCTTACTTTCCTTGTTTAGATTTGCTTTTCATATATTTGAGAGGACCTCTCTGTTGGCTGTGATGTGTGTTGAGGTCGTGTTCTGGCGACATGCGGCCAAATCTTTGTGTACACAGCAGCACACTCCTTATAGTTTGAGTTGTCGGGGTGGCTCATTCAGCCTTTTGATGTTGCGATACAAGATTTTATTCTTTTTTATTAAACATTTGCAAACACAGTATCGTAACATTGTAACCACTGTCTTTGTTTTGGGTGTAGTCATTTTAGATACCAGATCTCAGTTTGTTTAAAGGGCAGTTAAAGCTGAGGTCATATGGATAGATTGATCTCGGCCATGTATTGGTTTGATAGTCCGCCAAGCAGCCATGTTTATCTCTGGTCAATGACTCTGGAGAGCTCTGAGGATCTGATCATCTGCAGCTAAGTGGCTTTTCTTGCAAGCTGTTGCAGAGCTGTGAATTGATTGGCATAAATGACAGGCCATCAATAAGTCATGGGGTGAGCTCGACTTTCAGTACGACACATGACGCTTGTGTTTCACCTGTGGAAAGCCAAGCAGGAAGGAATCAGCCGAGAGGAAATAGCAGGAATTTACTAGCGTAATTTAGACACCGCATGGACGAAAAGATGCTGAGAACATGAAAGAGTCCGAGCCCCATGCATCCAGGATGTTAAAACCTCGCTGAATCATCAACAAATGGAAAATATTAACAAATGGTTAACACGTATTTTTTCAATTGTCAAACAAACAGCAGAGCTTTTGTTTCACCATAAAGTACATCAAGTGAAATAAGGCTGAACAACTGTTTGGAGAAAAAAACCTGTGTGGCATCAGCTTGTTGACTTTATTGGGTTGGGGACAGAAAGAGATCTGATATGAGATCTGACGGATAGGAACATGCTCTCATTAAGCAGTAATTGTTACCTGCGGACTATTCATCTGGTAAATAGGTCAATGGGCACATTGGCACACTCATTAGCGCTGGCCTGTTGAAAGAAAATTGTCTCAGCCAATAGTACATGCAGTGCAGTGAACACTGGCATCTTTAAGGTGACATTATGTAAACTCTTAATGGGTCGCCACGTAGTTTAAAATCTCAATCTTTAAAGCCGCTATAATTGATTTCTTTATTATTCTTTCTTTAAAATGTGGCAATGTACACCAACCAGCAGAAAGAAGAATAGTTAGCAACTCACTTGTGAACATTGTGAAGCATTTAGCTGCTTTAAAGAGACATATCTCACTGGAGTTGGTAAAGAGCTACAACAGAGTAAATGTTGGTCCAACATTCATCAGGTGGACAGCAACGCGACTGCAAATGAATGATAATGTTGCTCCGTAACTGCTGGATGTGTAAATAAGCAATTGTTTGCCTACTACTCCACCATATAAACTAACTTTATAGGTGATTGTATCAATATTGTGTTACTGCTGGATTTATAAATGGACCAGATGTGCTTTTTTTGTTTTGTCACCATAACAAATATTTTATATATTAAAACATGTCTAAGTGCATCTTTATTTGGCGGAGTGTTGTGGCATCATTGTCATCTCTATTAAAAACTATAGGTTACTTATGTAACCCCAGTTCTCAGAGTAACATGAAGTGAGATGTCTCACTATGGGATGCGCCTCAACGCGTATGCAAACAGAAGCATCAATCTCATTACGCCAATCCTGATTGGCTGGAGATCTTGACGTCTACGTCAGGGAATCCACCCACCCTTTAAGTAGCTTGCGCTACGTCGCAGCGTCATTCAAAATAAGCACCTCTTCTCGCTTCGCCTTAGCAAGAAGGGCCGTCTGGTGAGACATCTCACTTCATGTTACTCTGAGAACTGGGGTTACGTAAGTAACCTATAGTTCTCATTCATAACACTCCGTTCGATGTCTCACTATGGGATATTGAAACTCCCGTATTGCTAGACATGCTTATCTCGAAAATCACCAAAAACAACCAGAACTTAACAGGTAGAACCCTGTCTCAACATGGGGCCCAGCACTGCGCGGGCCACACTTGGAGCAGAGACATCTAGCCTGTAAAAGCGGACAAAAGTGAGCGGTGAGGACCAGCTCGCTGCTGCACAAATGTCTTGGATGGAAACACCCTTGAACAAAGCCCAGGATGTAGCCAGTCTACGGGTAGAATGAGCATGCAGGCCCGTTGGTGCCTGCAAACCCTGACTCGTATAAGCCAGAGCAATCGCTTCCACAATCCAGTGGGAGAGCCGTTGCCTGGTAACAGGCTTGCCCTTATGAGGATTAGCCCAGGATACAAAGAGTTGGTCATTGCATCGAAACTCTTTTGACCTGTCCATATAGGTGCGTAAAGCACGGACTGGGCACAGCAAATTCGGCCGCTGTTCCTCAGAGGAACACAGCGGCGGAGGAAATGCCTCAATGTCAATGGGGGTACATGAGCCAACCACCTTAGGTACAAAGGCAGGGTTGGGCTTCAGCAACACTCTCGTTTGTCCCGGGGCAAACTGAGTGCATGAAGGATGTACATGAATGTCACTGACTCGCTTGGCAGATGCCAGAGCCAGTAACAACACTGTCTTCAGTGACAGGTGTTTCATGTCAGCTTCTTCCAGGGGTTCAAATGGAGGTCGAGTGAGCCAATCTAAAACCACTGCCAAGTCCCATAAGGGCACCAGTGACCTGGAAACAGGGAGGAGCCTGCGAGCCCCTTTCATAAAATGGCAGACCAAGGGATGTTGGCTAGCCGTCTTTCCCTCAAAGCCCACCTGGCATGCAGCAATAGCAGCCAGGTACACTTTGATCGTAGAGAAAGCTCTGTGTTTATCAATCAGGTCCTGTAGACATGATAGAATCACCCCGACAGGACATTGAAAAGAGATGTGTCCTTTTTGAAGGCACCATTCCTCAAACACCCTCCACTTACAGTCATAGAGGGACCTGGTGGAGGAAGCTCTTGCACTCTGAATAGTGTTTATCACCTTCTGAGGGAGTCCCACTGGATTCAGGTTATACCACTCACGGGCCAGGCCCATAGTGCCAAGCGCTCTGGGTGTGGGTGAAAAATCACCCCCCCCGCCTAAGACAGTATGTCCCTGCGTAGCGGGAGCTGCCACGGCTGCCCGCACAGCAACTGATATATCTCCGCCAGCCAGTACATTGTAGGCCAGTGTGGAGCTATTAGGATCAGTGTGTGGCGTTGTTCTCTCACTCTGGCCAGAGTTGGGGGTATCAGAGCCAGGGGTGGGAACGCGTACAGAAGGACCGGAGGCCAAGCGTACGCGAGTGTGTCCACGCCTAACGGTGCGTTTAAATCGCGCATTGAAAAGAACAGCTGACATTGAGCGTTTTCTTTTGATGCGAACAGATCCACCGTAACGCACCCACAGCTGAATTATTGGATGTCGAGTCCAGTCTGCATATAGTGGTGCACCTCTGGACAGCAGATCTGCCCCGAGGTTCATCACTCCTGGTACGTGCGTCGCTCTCAGAAAGAGGAGACGTCCGCAGCTCCATAAGATCAGTTTGCGTGCCAGCATGTGTAAATGGAGAGAACGCAAACCCCCTTGGCGGTTTATATACGATATTGTGGTCGTGTTGTCTGTCCTCACGAGGACATGATGTCCTCTGAGAAAAGGCAGAAAGCGTTTCAGGGTGAGGAACACCGCTAAAAGCTCCAGATAATTGATGTGTGACCGTTGGAGGTCTCTGCTCCAGAGACCCCTCACAGGTCGACCTTCGTATATACCCCCCAGCCCGTCAGACATGCGTCTGTGGTGACCACCTTCCGCGATAGGACAGCACCCATAGGCACGCCCCGTACTAGAAAAGTCGGGTGCAGCCAGTGGCGCAGTGCCATTACGCATTTCATAGTGACCATGATGGGGGGGGCGGACATCGCCTCCGGCTTGGCAGCCTGGGCAGAAGAAACGAAGATGTCATCTTCGTTCTCATCCAAGTCGGATAAGAGGAACTCAGAGGCATCCTCTTCATCCTCCTCCATATAATCCAGCTGTAGGACATCCTCCACGGGTGGAACCACGGTGAGGTCCAGTTGGGAGCCCCAGCTTGACACAGCGCGGGGCTCCGCTCTCGCGGCTCTTGCCGCCACCGGGCTCCAGCCTGACAAGGCGCGGGGCTCCGATTCCGCGGCTACCGCCGTTGTTGAGCCCCAGCCTGACACAGCGCGGGGCTCAATCTCTGCGGCGGTCGCCACCATGTCCCGATTGCCGGCCGGCGAATCAACGGACATGAAGGGGTCCTGTCCCGACAGGCTAGCTTGGCCCGCTAGCCGTCGGCGGAGGCTCTTGATGGTGAAGCGGGCACAATGCCCGCACGAACCGGGGGTATCGATAGCTTCCTGGACGTGTTCCAGCCCAAGGCAGGACGAGCAGACCTGGTGTGAGTCCGTGCTCGAGATCTTAAACCCGCAGCCGCAGAGCCGAGCCTCCGACTCCTCTGGTGTGAGGGAGAGAAGGGTCCATCCTCGTTTGCCGGGGTGTCGGCGCGGAGGGAAAAGCTAGTAACAGGTATGTTACCGAGAAAATAAATCCAACCTTATCGTTATTCCGAAAGGAAAAACGAGGGGGTAGATTTTTTTCCCAAAAAATATTAACTGGTGTGTTAAGATCTTTCTTATCTCCGTCTCCTCTGGTGTGAGGGAGAGAAGAGTCCGTCCTCGCTCGCCGTTGTGTCGGCGCGGAGGGATAAACTAGCAACAAGTATGTTACTGTTTGAAGAACAAAATCAAACCTTACCGTTATTCCGAAAGAAAAAACGGCGGGGCAGATTACAATATTAACTGGTGTGTTAATATTTGTTCAATTCTTCTGCAAAGCAAAAAAGTAACCGGCAAGCGCCCGTCGATCGAATGTTAGCTTGGGTTCAGTCTGTGGACCGTTAAGCTAGCCCGGCTACTGATATTCGAGATGTGCTCTGAAGCGAGAAGAGGTGTTTGAATGACGCTGCGACGTAGCGCAAGCTACTTAAAGGGTGGGTGGATTCCCTGACGTAGACGTCAAGATCACCAGCCAATCAGGATTGGCGTAATGAGATTGATGCTTCTGTTTGCATACGCGTTGAGGCGCATCCCATAGTGAGACATCGAACGGAGTGTTATGAATGAGAACACTGGTAGCACTGACTAACAATAATTTACTACATGCACCATGCTGATTACTATAACACTCTCACCTGTGGCTAACTTGTCTATTATATCTTTTTGTACCAGCTTGAAGGTTATGCATGTTAATTTATAATTCTGTGCCCCAGACGAGGAAGTGCACTGAGGAAGCATGGTGCTATCGAGAAGTTACATCACTGGTCTTTGACCCTGCAGTAAATCTCTGCCTCTAATTGGTGCCCAGATAAAGCAAGATTTAATACCAGCCTGGCTAACAAACAAGTTAGAGGGGCACATCAAGTCATATAACCTTTTTAATATGAGATGTGTTCATTAAAACCTAAGAAAGGTGTTTTCATTTGATCTTGGACACAAAATGTATCACAGGTGGTTTTCATATTTGGAGTATATATACTGTAGGTATTCATTTATTGAAGAGAAAATATGCTGTTGTTTTAACTGCATTTTTGTAAAATACACTTTAAAATACCCTCTAAATGATCACCTTATTATACATGCAATACTTATGTGATTATCATTTCACATAACAGTGTCATTGAGTGGGAGTCTCCAGTTGAACCATGAAAACAAACGCATTACGTGTTCTTATGACTTCCTTATTGCCCTGCTGGGTCTCTTCAGTGTGTTCGACATTAGAGCTTCATTTCTATTGTTGGGTCTGCTGAAACGTGCAACATGTGGAGTTTAGGTCAGTGTCACTGTTACCTGTTTACATAGTTATATTGACAGTAAGATCGCAGGCGGACTTGTTGGATTTTCACTTTTTATGTCTTTGTTTTCTTATCAACAGAACAGAGGAAAAAGTACTCCAACTCCAATTATATAATGCAAGAGACGTCGCAGTATCATGTCGAGGTAAGATCTGCTCCTTATGTGTTTATCTAAAGATTAAAGTTATGTTTATAGGGCTGCAACATGTTATTATTTCATTATCGATCAATCTGCAGATGTATTTTTATAAATCCACCAATTGATCAAATAAAGGAAAAGATAGAAAATGGTAAAACATTTCCATGGAGCAGCTTTAAATGTCATATTTTGTCCTCTTAAAACTCACATGTATTTAGTTAAATATGACATAACAACTGAGAAAAGCTGTATTTCTCCACATTTGAGAGCCTGGAAATGAAAACAAATCTTTGATTTAATCAGCGTTGTAGCTTCAATTGTTTGTTGTATTTTTGAGCGTTCCTGTTTTTTTTCAAAATAGTTTTGAAAAAAGGCCAACATAGATGAATAAAGTATTCAAGCTGATGCACTGCATATATAATCCATGTTATTATAACTGGAAGTAAATGGCACTTAAACACACTTTATATTTATTCATTTTTTTCTATAGGAAATCTCATTTGAATTTCACCTTTCATAGTGTACTGTTATTCTATATAGTTACATTTGATTTACTATTTCATATAATTGACTGTAATATAAAATAATAATAATTGATAGTGAATTTTAACATAATATATAAATGAGCAACTTAGATAAAAAGTGTAGTTCTCTTTCTGATATTCCAGTAGTTTTAAACCTCATACGCATTATGTCTCTAAACTGAATCCAGCTGTAGATCTTAGTTTCATTCCTCCCTCAACGTTTCCTTTCATACTGTACACTGCCCAAAAATGACAACAAACAAAAAAAGGATAGAAAATCTTTTACCTGAGGTTTACAACTGTACAGATTTATCATTTAAAATGGTTAATTGGACCTCAAGATAAAAATAAAAAAGCACTTACCCTAAGTGATGGTTTATTGTTCTTTTGGCCAGAGATAAAAGCTGACACGGTCGTTAATGTCTTGATTGCATCTCATGTACGGGAAGGTTTGATAATAAAGCAATAAGGACTCTGAGCAGAGATGTGCGTTGGGTCAGGGATAGCGTTAGTCCTGTGTCCGTGCAAATTATATTTCTTTAGAGGCCTGCCATTATCACACATGGGCAGCTAATCCTCAAAATAACAGCCAAGCTGGCAGCATAGAGCCATATAAATGCCATTATTGCAGATTGTATAGCAGATAAAACAGCAAATGCACAAGTAACGCTTTCAGCTGAAGGCATTGTGAGAAGAATCAAGTATTTTTAGAGGTGGCTGATCTAAATACAGCCTACAGTTTATGAAATAGTTTGGCATTTTGGGAAATATATTATCCTTATTTGCTTTCTTGCTGAGATTTAGTAGAGAAGATACATATGTGTTACTTAAAACAACAGCCTTGAGTGAGTTTAAGATTTTTTGCTAGCTGTTTCCCATAGTGTTTAGTGTTTTTGGTAAGCTAAGCTAGCAGGTTGTGCTAATTTTTCTCATCTTACTCTCTGCAAGAAAGGCAATATGTATAATTCCCAAAATATCAAACTATAACGTAAGCGTTATTTAAATGTGTATTTTGTCAATCCAATTTTCTAAAGCACACATGTCCTACTTTCTAGAGAGACATTGTTTTTTAATTCACCTCACAACCAATCGTTTTCCTTTACCAACTCTTTGTTTCCTCATCAGCATCTTTCCACGTTCATTATGGACAAGACAGAGTCCATCGTCACAGTGGACGATGCCGTCAAGAAACTAGACTTTCTGGACTCAAAAGACAAAATCTGGACTCAGGAGATGCTCCTGCAGGTCACTGACAAGGCGGTCCGGCTGCTGGACTGTGACACACAGGTACTGCTTCACTCTGTCCACACACTAAGTACATCATCGCAATATGTTCACATGTAATAAGATTCACATTTACAGTCATGTGTTTGCGAACACATAACTTAAAGGTAGGGTAGGTAATTTTGGAGAAACCAGCTCGAGTGCGCTCGAATTTGAAAATACACAGCCAGAAAAAATCAGCCACTTAAGATATTCATTGCTATCGGGATGTTAAGAGCATTCCATGGAATATAACAAAAAGTATATCTCGAGCCGGTTTCTGAAACTTACCTACCCCACCTTCAACATCTTTTGTTCATATTTACTCTAAACAACATTCATAAGCATTGATTATACATAAAAAGGTACATCTTAACATTTATATTCATAAAAATATTGAAATACAATGTTGAAGTTTATGGCTAAAGGTGTTACTCCACTTTTTAATGGTTGAGTTATATTGTCCTTTAAAAATCTATGCCGATAGTGACCTACATGCAAACATTTCAATACTGTGCGTTGCTTTGATGTTCTTCTGGATTGTATTGAACTACATTTCCATTATGCAAATGTTTTGATCCAGTGTTTTTTGGAGCTAAAGTCAGGATTTATTTGCCTTTCGTGCATCGAAAACGTTTTGAAATCTGTCTCTTACAAGTCCCCCTATATTGTAACCTTACAGTACTGAATTGCTCAGATGCCTCTTTAAGTTTTAATTAAATATGGTAAACCTTTTCTATGTATTTGTCATATGGTCTGACAATATTATGATTGTGTCGATTCACTAATTGAATGACATTTAAAGGGGACCTATCATGCAAAATGCACTTTTGTACATCTTGTATACATGAATATGTGTCCCTGGTGTGTCAGGGAACTCACCAAGTGTCAGAAAACACAACCCTCTCTCTTTTCCTCCATACCCAAATCTCTAAAAACGGGGCTGCAACGGATCTGATACAGACTGATCCAGATTTGAAATTGTTCTGACGTCAGAAAAGGGGTGCTCCGCCTATATGGGCAACTCTCCACCTATCAGGGGAATGGGTGGTACCGTGGCATGGTAACAGCATGGTAACAGCATGGTAACATGACGCTCGTGCCACGCCCCCCTCCTTTGCAGGGGGGCGTGGTCAGCTGCAGCTCATTTGCAACAGAATCAGCCCTTGTGAAGACAGGGCTGGAATAGAGCAAATAGAGCGAAATGAGGCATGGCTAAAATGCATGATCTGTTTGGTATTATGAAGAAAAAACTTCACAGACATGTTTTATATAGGTATAAGGCCCTACAATATATTATTAAAATATAGCATGATAGGTCCACTTTAAAGGAATGGTTCTGATCTTATTTGCTAAATTATTGATAAAATCTGCTTTATATAAAGCCACAACCAATAGGCAGTTAGCTTAGCTTAGCATAAAGACTTAAAGCAGGAGGAAACAGTTTTGTCCAAAGGTAACAGTAGAGTTGATAGTACTTTTAATTTTCTCATCTCTCAACACTTTTACAAAACTATTTAGTGTTTTGTTTTTACATTACGGATGACTTTGTCTATTCTGATGTTATCTTGCTTTCTCTCTGCCTCCACCTCTTCCTCTCTAACCATTCTTATGTTGTGATGCAGGAAGAGTTGGAGAACTTCCCCCTCCCAACCATCCACATGAGTCAGGCGGTCCTGAATCAAACACGTTACCCCTCTGTGCTGCTGCTGGTGTGTCAGGACAAGGAGCAGCACAAAACCTGACATCCACTTCTTCCACTGTGACGAGGTGGAGGTGAGTCTGGGTTTAATGCCGCGGCCTCGGCTCAGTTTGCGTTTTTTATCGTTTCTGCATGATCGGCTGGCTTTGTGTTTGATGTCGTGGTAAATCCAAGCTGCTGTTGTTGGAGCGCCAGGTCAGATTTCAGTGCAGTTTGTGGCAGTGTGCTAGAGTGTATCCTTTTCCATTTTTACAAGACTTGTTAAACTATATTTGCTCAAGGAAAGATCCATCCCTGAAAGGATTTAATACTATAACTTCCTGCAATGACAATGCCTTTTTATAGTTCAAAGCACTACTGGTAAGTTCAAATAAATAGTTTACAAGAGACTGTCGATCATTATATCAGGCTCATAAACGCTGACGAGAGTGAATATAACAACCTTTGGTTTATTACATATTGCGCTGTTTCAGTAAATGAATATCGAAACGGTTCTTATCCTTATCCCTTTTGCAAGAGTGACCAGACCAAACCACAGACGATACACATTGTTACAACAATACATTCAAATATTAAATACAAACAAATATAAAAGTCAAATGAGTGAGCACCTTACCCATTTTATAAGCAATGAATAAAACATTGTATTGATTTTGGTTTTATGTGAATACACTATGGTAGTCAGTTAAATGTAATTATTTCACACTTTTATAAGCAAGCATTATTGAGTGCATCACAAGTCATATACACATAGATAGGGTTAGGGCTGGTGTGTACAGCCTACCAAAATGATGCTTGTTTCCTTTTTTGAATAATGTAGAATGAATCATTACTGGGGATTTTACTGATAGATATTAGACTTCGAAAGTTTAGCATTTAATTTGACATTGCAATTTCGTAATTTGATCTCTAAGGCCTAGGTGGGTTACATGCGTCTGACAGGGAATCTGCTGTCGGCCTTGAAGCTACAAATGTTCTTAAAGTTTGACTCTCTGTCTCTCCTCATTTTCTTCAGGCTGAGATGGTTCATGCTGATATAGACAGTGCCATTGGAGACAACAAGCATGGAAAGAAAATGAGGCTTCAGACTCTCAAGTGAGAACCGTGGCGCACGCACAAGCACACACACACGCACACAGACACACACACACTGACACACACAAACACTGACCTTTAATTAGTAGTTAGCTAACTTAATCTCTCGATGCCTCCTCCTCTTCCTCTAGGGTGAACCAGGAGAAAATGAAGCGTCACAGAGAAAGCATCCTCCCCCCCTCGGCCCCTAAGGGCCCCTCACCCGCTGCAAAGGGACGTGTGGCAGCCTCAAACACACAACGTAAGAATTGGACAGGTTCTTAAAATAAATCTCCTTTCACATGCCATGCTCACATTTTATTCAATAGTTGCATTCACATGAGCTTTTGTGTGTGAATGTAGATCAACGAGCATCCGGACAAAGTGACATGGAGTCACATGAAAAGCTGGCTCAGCGGATTGAGAAGGATGTGGTGAGAGTTTTTATCCACACTGACACCTGCCAGTACATTACACAGCCTCATAATGCTATGTAAATCATACTTAATCTCAGGGTTTGTCTCCCTCAGCAAATCCTCAACTGTTCCCTGGATGACATAGAGATCTTTGTGGCGCGGCTGCAAAAGGCAAAAGATGCCTTTTCTCAGCTCAACCACCGCAACAAGAGTAAGAAGAATAAGAAGAAAGGACCAGCAGGTCTGTCGCCCTTTCTTCTTTCATGCGGTGGCAGGAATGCAGTGACAATATGTTCATATTGTTCACGTCACCATGTTTGTGCCCTCTTGTGTCCTGCGGCCTAGGACCATGATGTTTGTGTGTGTGGTAGCAGTGACCAGTTTGGAGTTATTTAAAGTAAAACAATACTCATCATAACTGAGGTTATGACCAACAAAGTCAAAATATTGCCAATTCCAAAAGATTGGAAAAACATGTTTATGAAGTGAAAGTGTATTATCGACTGTTCTCCCAAATTATAACTGTGCAAAGTATTTTTACAACATATTGCTGAGTAATATTTAACCACCAAAACTGGCAGTGCTGTGATGCTGTGTCTTTATTTCAACATACATACATGTGACGCCAAACATTGATGTGTTGTTTTGCATGTGCATGGTGAGGCGCACACACACATACACAATTACCACACATCATTTGGTAATAGACAACACAGGTTTGTGTTGTCCCTGACCACCGAGACATAGAGAATATTTTTTTTTATGTAAACGTAAGTTAAAACTTAACTTATTAGGTCTGATTTATCATAATTGATGTAATAAGGAACTTGCATGCACCTAAAATTACAATTCAAAAGAACAATTTATATTTGAGGTATATGTCTCTGGTTTCTGTGGTTATGTGAATTTTGGGACCTTTCGAGTCATACGTCATAAGAAACCCTGATGTAGCACATTTTCTCTTCTACTCTCTGGTCAAGGTGAAGTTGTCAGCTGTTTATAACTAACCATAAGTGTACCACTAACCGTAATAAAAAGTTGCAAGCTTTAGTAGAGATGAAACAATAGCATTTGAAACCTGCATCCAGTCTGTAATAAGTCTGCATGGAGGGCCGGTAACTCTGGAGTCTGTGTGTGGTCATTGTTGCTCTGCTTGTTTACAGAGGGCATGTTGACCCTGCGAGCCAAGCCCCCCTCTGAAGCTGAGGTTATTGATAGCCTGCAGAAACTGAAGCTGGCCCTCAACCTCTTGGTGAGATATCACAGCTCCTAACCTCTCCACCTTTGTTCATCAGTTTTTCTCTCTTTTCAACTCTTTCTTACTGTGTATCTGTCATTGTGCCCCCTGCAGGCCAAACTGAAGAAGCACATACAGAATCCAAGTGCGTCTGAGCTGGTTCATTTCCTCTTCGGCCCTCTGGAGCTGGTAAGAGCTGCAAATCTGTGGAGAAAGTGTCTAATGTCAAACAGGTTTATAAGGACGATCATCTCAAACACAGGCTATTTTTTACTCTATAAATAAGTTACTCATTTCATTAGATAACCTCTTTGTTGACTGGGCCAGAAAGCACATCTGACGAAGCTTTATTAAATACACAGAATCAAAGCCGTCTAGTGTTTGCATTGTTGTCATCAGACATTCCTCCTATTGTTTTCATTTTTTCTGGCACCACACCCACTGTCGCTCTGTTAAACTCACACCGGACTGGAGCAACGTAGCTTTCAGCTCTGATTTAGGTGCAGCCACACTTACATAAAGCCGGTTTCCCAAGCCTCAGTGTACGGCCACACCTTCGATACTGCTGGATAGAAACACAGAGCTGTCATTAGGCTCTGCCAAGTGATATGGTGCAGTAACCTCTGGACAGCATGGATTTGCTGGATAAGACCAAGATAAAGCCGTAGCCGTATCATTCAAAGTCGATCTCTAGCTGTCCTCAACAATAGATCCCAACATGCAGAAGCTTTGGATACATGTGTATTCAGTTTTAAATTGTTTTGCAATGTAAATAAGATGCAGATATTTGTGATGCGTTAACATTCAATATTTAGTTTGCTGCTGTTGTTTACACCCAATATATATGACTTTTGTGTCTTCTGAATGCAAACAAATATATTTTTGGAATATCTTATTAAGTTGCCTTCTCACCAAATTGTTGAAAAGCACTTAATGTAATTGTTCAATAAACTTCTGGATGCATCCACAGGTGTTGCAGAGCTATGGAAGTCCTGAACTGGCGCGTTCAGTAATCTCCCCGCACCTTTCCAAAGAAACCGTGGACTTCCTGCGGGGACACCTCACCCCCAAAGAGATGACCGTCTTCGAGCTAATGGGGGATGGATGGACCAAACCTAGGTAAACATATGAGTGTATTTAAATAATACTTTTATTCAAAGTGCTTTACAATTTGCCTCTTGTGCACACACAAAGTCACACGCTGACGTCACTGGCCTGACCATTGGGAGCAAGGACACTTGGGTGCATGATTACTAATGGCTCTGTGGTGTTGATGTGTAGCTTAAAGTTCACCTTATGACCCTCTTCCTGCAGAGCGGAGTGGCCCAGGGACCAGTGCGCTCCTCCTTATCACCCAAAGTTTCGTAATGGCTGGGAGCCGCCAGCAGACTACTTCAGGATGGCCCCGTGGGAGACAGAAGGACTTGGGGGGCCACTGGGGTCTCCAACCAGCCCCGATTACAAAAAACACTCAGCTGAGGATGTAAGGGTTTTGTTTGTCTGTGGATTTGGCTACCATTGCCGGTCCTAACCCCTGAAAAATGTAACAATTTCCTCTGCTTTTACAGTATTATGGAACTCATTCCTCAAACTCGTCAAATGGGTAAGTCATAAAGTCCTTCACACATTTTGCTGTCTCTTTCACACATTTCAATAAACCGTTCAAACTTAAATAGGAGGATACAATGTGTCTTAACAGGTCAAACAACGGGATTCCCCCCACCCGCAAACATGCCAAAATTCACTACCACTTTGTAGCACGGAATGCCAACGAGCTGTCGGTGCTGCAGGACGAAATCCTCGAGGTAAAAACAAAGACATGTGTTCAAAATGTAAACAAAATGCTGATGCAGCTGTGAACTAATTGATATGTCCAGTCCTCAAGCATGACAATGTCAGTTCCAGCTCTAAGTACTTGCTTTCAAGTTTTGAATGGACTGGATTGAGATGTGAAATGTGTCTTGCAGGTGATAGAGGATAACAAACAGTGGTGGAAACTACGAAATCGCAGCGGTCAGGCAGGCTATGTCCCGGCAAACATCCTGGAAGTTGTGAAGATCGAGGACTCAGAAGCCGCCTATAACCAGGTGACCTGTTGTAGTGTACAAGTGGTGCAATAACAGTACATTATAAGAGGAACCGCCATACAACTTGGCCACTTTTATAATGACTTTGTTCAAATTCATGCTTGACATTTCTGAGTGGATTTTGTAGCTGTGTGGTGTTTTTTGAAGCGTTCATACAGGCAATCTTTCCTGCAGCTACACATAAACAAATGTAGGTAATAGAATGAAATGCAGCAACAGGACATGATCCCTTTCACTTACTTTCACCATCCTTATCTCAGCTACACAACTTCAGACGTGTTGTCAAGATTAGATCAAATAAACTAAGATTAGATCAAATGAGCTAAGATTAGATAATATTAGATCATCCTTTATTTTGTCCGAGAGTGGAGCCATTTTTAGTGTAACAACAGCACATGGTAATAATGCAATACAGTAAGCATCAGTAAGAAGATAAATGAATAAACAAAAAGTAAATACAGACAACAATTTATTTTAACAAAATAAGTATAATGAGTGAATAGTTGAGTTCACATTATTATACATATACTATAATTGTCAGTTTTCCTCTGTGCGATGGGAGCAGGAGAGTTCAAGGTTTCTTATCACTGCTTGTTATTCATTCGTTACGCGGCTAGGAAGTGTAACATCTGGGTTCAAAGTAAAAGGGATGATAAGGACACAAACAGATAACACATTTGAAGTGAATAAGTCATAATAAAGAGACATAACAGAGATTTCCAAAAAATGATCAGATGAGTAAAAAGCCTAGATACAGCCTAGATACAGCACAAGCAATGGTTGTTGTTTACAGGACAAATCATCACAGTGCATACAGGTTTACCAACGCCCTTCTCATACTGTATGCAGCTACTCTTCCTGGTGCCAAATTATTTCACACACATATTTTCTCTTTTGGCCTCAGGGCAAAAATGTATCAACCGAGAGAGAAGAACCTGTTTATGGAATAATAGTGGCTGCGGTGGCTTTCTCATGAACTGTATATTTTCTGTGTGTGTATTTGTGTGTGTGTTCATTAGGGCTACGGGACGACATCTCCTGGTTCTCTGAGCCCTGGAAGCAGCTTCAACCATGGTAAACCCTTTGATCAAAGTGAGTGAATACAAATATCACAAAGTCAGATCCAAGAATAACAGATAAGAGTAATGGTTGCTTGATTCTAACGTCTGCTACCATCCTTTTTCTGTTCTGCAGAAGAGATGCAGAAGGTCCAAAGTGAGTTATTGGAGAAAATCCATAACAAAAACCAGCCGGCTGTCAAAAAGTACCGTGGGGTGGGATCAACCAGCAGCCATGTACCGCTCAACCTTGACTCAACCCCAGAGCAGGTGACCGCGTGGCTCAGCGCAAAAGGTTTCTCGAAACCGTAAGTCACCCCCGATGCTCAACTATCCAGGAAATCCAAATACCTTTCCTCTAAAATACCTTCATGTTTTTAAAAAAAACGTTGTTGATGTCCTGAATTTTTCCTCTAAAATTATCATCAGGCCGGCAGTGTCTCAGTCAGTAGGGGCTTGGACTGTGAGCCGTAGGGTCGCCGGTTCAAGTCCCCAACCAGACCTAAATACGGAGTGTGGACTGCTACTTGGAGAGGTCCCAGTTCACCTCCTGCCCTTCCGTGGTGTCCTTGAGCAAGGCACCGGACAACCCCCTTCCCCCCTTCACTCCCATTGCTCCCCGGGCGCTGTACAATAGCTGCCCACTGCTCCTAGTACTAGACTCCTGGTACTAGGATGGGTTAAAAGGAGAGAACAAATGTCACTGTGTGCTCTGCATGTGTGACCATTAAAGAGGGTTTCATCCTTCCCAATAATTTTTTTTTTAAATTTTACTAAAATGTGATATTTATGCCTCCTTTCAGGATTAATTAGGAAGAACATGTATTTTAAAAAACATTGCTGATGGCTCAGGTTAATTTATCCTTTAAAACCCCAATGAGGCATTATGCGCAACATCAGCTTGCTAAACCGACACCAATGAGAATCAGTGCATTATTGTTGCTGTTGTTTACATCTGTGTCTTAAAAATGCCATTATGGATATTTTTTGGATGGTCAACTCACTATTGGAAACTATATATACATTTAGAATTACATTACATTCATATATAATGAGATTCCTGACTGTCCACAGGACCATTGAATGTTTGGGGATCCTGACTGGAGCACAGCTGTTTTCCCTCAACAAAGAGGAGCTGAAGGCGGTGTGTGGAGACGAAGGAAATCGTGTCAACTCTCAGCTCACAGTGCAGAAAGAATTGCTGGAGGTTTGTCACACACTAGGGGTGTAACGGTTCACAGAAGTCACGGTTCGGTTCGTACCTCGGTTTGGGGGTCACGGTTCGGTACAACAAGAAAAAGCAAAAAAAAAAGTCCCAAATGCATAATTCCAGGTTTGTTGTTATTTATGTTTGAACAGTAGTGCAAGTTTCAGTTTTTTTTTAAAAAGAACTCTTTTTTGAATAATTAACTGTATTAAACAGTTAAAAACAAACCTTACACAGTACACTCAGATGGCCATATTATCTATAATGGCTGATGTCAAACAAAAAGGTTTCATCAAGCTATAAAACTAAAAAGAATGTCTTGAAAATATGACATCATAAATAATAAGAAAGTGTTTCAAGAGCGCATAGCCGTTGAAAAACATATGCCAAAAGCTTCCGTTATTTATTTTGGTCTCACGGCGGGGATCAGCTGTTGAACTGCTGTTGTCTTTTGCTCCGGTGATTGGCAAATCTGGGTGATGCCTTCTGATATGATTTAGCATGTTTGGCGTGTGTTACCATTAGCATACCGCACCACTGTAGAACAACGGCGACACGCCGTCCTCGTCCGATCCACCACTCGCACACTCCATCGTTATTGTAGTCCACAGGGAACCCGAAATGTTCCCACACAGCTTAAGCAGGTGGGTTCTAGCCATAGGGGTTCTAGCTCCTGTGTTATCTGAAATCGCCATACTAACTTTTCTTCTTCTTGTATTTTGTTCGTTTTGTTGTTGTGTTTCTTCTTGTTCTTCATTTGTTGTTTAAGGGCGGCTGGCAAACAGCTTTTAGGCGCAATACCGCCCCCTGGATTATAAATAGTGTAGTGGATACTGCCCTGAATGACACTTTTTTCCCACTCGTAAAAAAAATGCGTATTCGTCGTGTGACTGTGTGTGCCGAACCGTGACGTCCGAACCGTGACGGTACGGGACGAATACGGATACCGTTACACCCCTATCACACACACATGCACGCAAACTGCTAACACTCCTGTTACGACAAAGCTGTTTCTTTTATGGGTAGACCAAAACAAAATATAAACTCACTTGTATCAAATGTAAAACGTGTTTGTTAGATCTGAATAATACCTTCCTGTCTCAGCTTTCAATGTCTTTCAGGGTATGTTAAGACAAGTCACTTTAATAAAAGTTTGTGTCAGCTGAGAGTCATCCTCGTATTATAATCAGGTCAGAACTGACTAGGTGGGATTCGTTGACAATTTAACAGATTCCCACATGGATAATGAGATAATAATCCGCAGTTATGCAGATTCATAAATTCACAAAACGCGATTACAACAAATTGGCAAATGACATGATACAGTAAATAGATATCACAAGTATTACATACACACTTTGTGAGACATTCATGTATGAGAGTGACAACTTCAGATCTTAAACTGTAAAAAAATAACAATCACCTGTGGTTTTAATGATCAAATGCAGAGCACAGGAGAAACAGAGAAAATCAGGGTGAAGCAATGAGTCCTGACTCCTGACTAAGTCAAAGCAGACTGGTCTAGAGTAATATGGAGGGGACAAAAACAATATTGACAAAGAAAAATATTTGGTATTTTAAAGTCTAACATTATTAAAAGTATTGGCCCAGGATAAGGAGTTAGAGCCTGTCGTGTATTTATAAAAATCGTTTTTTAGGATTATGCTAATTTTCTTTCTAACCTTTACCGTTTCAATTCACTTTTACCAACTTTTGTTTTTTAAATATAATCTTTTAAGTCAATCTGTTATCCATGTAATGAATTGTTGTCTTTTTATATTATCAACACAAAACATATCGTTTTCTAAGTACCTTTCTGTTAATTATCCAGTGTGATCCTCAAATCTTCCTTGTTTTAAAATACTGTAATAAAGACCAAGATAAGAAAAGTTTAGATTCTCGTCTAAACAGAGCATTTCTTAAAAAGGCACTAGATTGTTTATTTTGAAGCTTGTGGTCCTTTGTCTCTCTTTGTAATAGGGGAATCCTTAAACAGCAGTTTGGCATAATACTAAAGGAGAAACATTCATAAACAATAAATAAAAATGAGTCTTCTTGCGCTTCCTTTGCAGAAGAGCAAAGGAGACACGGAGCTGCAGGAGGTCATGAAGCGGCAGCAGGAGAGAATCAACTCTTGCAGCAAAGACTGAACGGACGCTTTCCCCTCTTCAGAAGCTTCTTCAATCAAGCTCTTGTCAATGATCACCTACAGTGGAACATACTGAAATGTTGTATACATTTTTAATTGTATATTTATTTTGTATCATCCAATATGTATGTATTCCAGTGTTTTCTTATCTAATTATGTTGCTTCTGTTTTCATTGTTGTTGTATGAAAGAGGGAGAATGTGAATCCATGTACAGTTGTGAGAGGGTGTGTGTGGGAGCATGTGTAAGCACACCATGCATGTATCGTGCATATTTGTAGTGTGGTCAATGTTTATGCTCATTGTCAATATTGCAGCTGTTTACTGAATGACTTCAATAAGTAGATCTTAGCTATAGCATAACTAAACCTGTGCCAGAATGTTTGACACCTTTTCTGATATATAGCCATTTATTTTCATATTACTGTTTACAACTATAATAAATAATAAATCGCAAACTATATGTCAGAAGTATTCTCATCAATCCTGCTTACTAACTGCAGTTCAGCTGTAGGTATTAATAGAAATAATGTTTTTAATCAGAATTCAGACATTCTGGCAAGAGAAACTCATTCATGACGTTATTGTACATAACAGTGAGATACTGTCATTTATGTTGTTTTGGAGCAGCATGATATTTGCAGTGTAAGCTGAACACATACAGGAAAAATAAGGAAAACATGAAAGTGTGTTGCTCTGATAATAATACTTAAATTAAGATTTGGGCCATGCATTCAAGGGGTTGTAAATATAATGGGACACAGTTTGAAAAAACAGTACAATAAAAAAATATCTTGTTAAATATTTGATGTCTCATCTTTTTGTAATGACTTTATTTCATGTGTTTGTCACTGGATTCATAAAACCAGAGGTGGAGAAACAGTCAATAGATATTTTATTGTATAATGTAAGATCAAGAAAGAAGTTCAATTAAGTACAATGATAACTTATCCTCAATTAAACAGGATTTGTCATTTTTTGTTGTTTTTTGTTGTTTCAGCATGAGAGATAATGAAAAAAACATCACTTTAAAATACCTCACAATCCATTTTCACGACTGTATCTATAACACCATACCACTGTTGCTCAAGACGCTGTAAGGCAATTCAGAGAAATCCTGTGAGCACAAAAATTGCGCACTGAATCTGAAAATACTAAAACGACACTAAGTAAGGATCATTCCCGTACTATCAACTGGTGTATAAAACCGAACAGATACAATCAATGTACGATACAGTAGAAGAGAAAAACTTCCTGTAGGTACAGTGTAGAGAAAATACGTTATTTATGGAGATACGCGTCAAGCCAGAGGTCGCCCGAGTTCTTCAGTGACCTGAAAAAAAACAAAAATACACACGACATCTATCAGGCAAGAGGTTCATATGGAAGCCTGTTTGCGCCACAGGAAAACATTTACAAAATCCTGTAAGTCATTATAATGCATAGCTATCTCATTATAATGACTTAGTTATCTCATTATAATGACTTACTATCTCATTATAATGACTTAGCTATCTCATTATAATGACTTACTATCTCATTATAATGACTTAGTTGTCTCATTATATTGACTTATAAGTTTTGGTAATATGAGAGGATAAATCAGGCCTTGTTTGGATACTGAATATATACCAAGGTCAAAGCATACACTGTATTATGACTCCTAATCAAACGTATATCTTTACAATATGTATTTGTTTGTGACTGTAGCTGTACCCACTGGATTGTTTCTGAGTGTTTTCCGGACATCAAACTCTTAAACACAGCAACATGTATACTGTACTATCACTTAAGCCACAAGAAACTCAGCTTTATTTCAAACATCAGCCAATTATAGATCATTTAAAAAAGGATTTTATCATCTGCAGATGAGCGTGTGTGGGCCTATATAGTGTCTATAAATGCCTCTTTAAATAGATTACACATAACATTGACCAGCTTTTGTGTTAGTTTGCTATACCATAGTGCTTCAGGTGTAGATTATACAATATATAACATGTCCAAATATGAGAGAAGGCCTAGGAACAAGTAACCGTAAAAAAAAGAAAGAGTCTGACTGAGAGGCCAAACAAACGTCAGGAGAGAGAAAAGAGAGATTTGTCTCAAGTCTTGAGGTAAGCAATGTGTTTCTGTATAATGCCCTACAGACCATCATACAGTTACAATCATTAATTCTCTATATACAAACTGATTTACATACACTGTACTGCGCCTCAGTTTAAAAATGTCATAAAACTAAATGTGAAATCAAATATATGGTGCAATTTCTTTTTAGAGGGAGGACTCCACGAAGTTTAATGAGGTGGGCGATAATGGACATATGGCTATTGATGATGGCCTGTTTCCTCTTGCATAGTACATCACACACACTATCAAATATCTACAACAGTGAAACTTTTCCTGTTCGATCAAAACACTTGCAAACAATTGGCTAAACTACATCAGCTCATTTTTTGAAGATATTTCGTGGAGAACGGAGATGGCAAACTATCCGAGTGGACCATAGTGTATCTTTATGTATATATCCTTTAGGCCTGCATGTTTTAGAGGGTCACATCGACTCTGTTTACTGCGTTACATGAATGGAGGAAGTCTAATGTGGCACGGTGGCTCAAAAGAAAGAAAACAAAACAAAAAGGAAGCAAGGACAAACCAGCGCTCTACCCCTCGTGGCTCCACTGGAAGTAGGCACCGTTTTTACTGTTACCTTCTTAGAAGACAAGGTTGAGCTCAATAACACGTCAAGCCTATCCCACATCTCTCCGAAACATACGCTGCGCCACCTAAATGTGTGTCTACTGAGGGAGGCCTGATTTGAGATATGAAGTCATTATAATGAGATAGTAAGTCATTATAATGAGATAGTAAGTCATTATAATGAGATAGCTAAGTCATTATAATGAGATAGCTAAGTCATTATAATGAGATAGTAAGTCATTATAATGAGATAGCTAAGTCATTATAATGAGATAGCTAAGTCATTATAATGAGATAGTAAGTCATTATAATGAGATAGTAAGTCATTATAATGAGATAGTAAGTCATTATAATGAGATAGCTAAGTCATTATAATGAGATATTAAGTCATTATAATGAGATAGTAAGTCATTATAATGAGATAGTAAGTCATTATAATGAGATAGTAAGTCATTATAATGAGATAGCTAAGTCATTATAATGAGATAGCTAAGTCATTATAATGAGATAGTAAGTCATTATAATGAGATAGCTAACTCATTATAATGAGATAGCTAAGTCATTATAATGAGTTACATGATTTTTTTATTTATTTTTCCTGTGGCGCAAACAGGCTTCCATAGGTTCATCACTTAACTTTGTTCAGCAAGAACATTTTATTTAGTTATAGCCCTCATTAATCTGTCAGTTGGTTGGTTTCATACCTTTGTTTTGTTTAACTGTTCTCTTTTGTTTGTTGACAACCTCAACATGTCCTTTCCCAGCAGTAGATGATAAACTACTTTTAGTATTGGACTTACCTGAAAACATCAACAATGCCTTGCCACATTGTTTTGACGTTGTAAGGAATCCCATGTTTCTCACACAGAGCACGGACCAGTGGGGCCACCCGATGGTAGTTGTGGCGCGGCATCGTGGGAAACAAACTTGAGACGAGAAACGGACCAGAAAGCGTCCATCGGACATGTTTAAAAAATAGTGTTATAATTTTAAATTGAAATCAAGGTCGTTGTTTAAAATCAGCTTATTTCACTGTCATATGTGAGTTTATTATAATATATTTAATAGTATATTGTACATCAGCTTTTTCCAACTATATTCAATGAAGCTATACTGTATAATGTTTATGCTGAGTATAGTATTCAAATCATTTCATACTAATTTCTTCAAATAAAAACTTACAAATCTTTAAAAACTTTCTCTTTTTATCTGGAAATTAAAATAGTGTGGCTACTTAATTCTTGAAGATCATCATGCTTTAAGATTTCAGGAATGATGTACTGATGGACTTGTAATACTTTTTGTATCTATAAGATGATTATTTCTCATTTATTTGAAGATCTTTTTGATTGTTTTCTTACAAGCTTTTGAGCTGATGAACACATGCTCTGCTCAGACTAGATAATTGACTCACTGATGTTCGATTTGAAAGTTGAGGTGCCCGCTGAACCAGTCGTTGAAGGGGGACTGCTTGATATTACAGGTGGCCTTTAGCTAAAACAGTGGGCGAGAAAAAATACAAATGAATATATCAGCATCACATGCACTGTGGACTGTCCCCTAAAAACCTGCGGGTACCTGCATGGAGAGCCAGTCCCGGTGCTTATCGTGGTCGATGTCCATCGGCAGATGATTCATCTGAGTCACCCACACAAACCAGTGGCTCTCCAAAAACCTGCCATTCACAACAACACCAGTCAGGAATAACCATGTGATCCAGGTAGATAACATGTCGGCTTCTATTACATTATAAAGGGTTTGTTAGTTGAAAATGATGTTATTTTTGTAATTTAAGTAAAAACGATTATATTATGAATCAAACATTTAAAAATATCAACTTTTGGGTATCATTGGAATCCTATTCTAGCATAACATTTTTTGCAGCACGCAGTTTAAGTGACAATAAATGTGTATTTTTGAGTTTTAGGTTGTTTTTTTATTTGTTTAGAGTAATCGTTGCAACATAGGTACAAAAAAGAGGCATGAGTGGTTAGATGTCAGTATTTGATTGTGTTACAGTACGTGTGTATGTTGGGGTTGTATTGAATTTGATTACCTGACAAAGGTGATGAGCATCACTGAGCCGAACAGGCCGAACATGGGTATAGAACAGCACAGATAGCGAAGGTAGTACGACAAAGACCAAGCCAGGTCCTTCAAAAGAGAGGAAGGTTAATTAGATGGATATAATATCTACTTTTCTTAAGTCATAAACATAAATAAAGAAGAAAATAATTGAGATCAGACTTTTTATCTCACGCGTCTCAGGGGTTTCTCGCATACATATTCAGTTATCAGACAGAAAATGTTGCTTATGTAATCTGCACTGTAACGCAATAAGACAGCATCTTACCACCCAGTCGTGGCGTGAAATCATGGTGCGTATGATCTGCACGTGGAAGTAAATTGGAATGAGTAGCGGGGGTCCAACTATAGGGGGGGAAAAATAACAGTTATACCTGTGGAGTTTTACAGTTTCAATTTTTTTTTTAAATGACTCCAGGAAACATACCAAGAAAGAAGTACTGGTGTTGGTAGTGGTAGGGCATATATTTGATCTTTTTTATGCCGTACTGTAACAGAGAAAACAGAGTTAGAATGAGAGTCTGGTAAAATATTGTATATATTTGTTTTTTACTGAACTTGCCTCCACTGGTTGAGTGGCTCCAACCACGAAGACGTGCAACATGTTGACATCAGGGTCCTTACTGAAGATGTTGGGTTTAGCATGATGCTGGAAATGTCTGTGATTCCACCAGTTAGCAGACGCACCCTAAGAAAAACAATCTCTTAATAACTGTGAAAAAACGTCATTGAAAATAGGATTAGGAATACCAATTACCTTCAAATGGCCGATGGAAAATTTGTGCAACACGTGATTCCAGCTAGATTTCTTAAAGACGGACAGATGGCCAAAGTCATGCTGCAGCCACCCAGCCTGCAACTGCAGAAGAAGAAGTGAAAAAAGCATTAATATATTCAAAACATAATCAAATGTACGCCTGGGTGTAAATATCACTGTCTACTATGGACAACTGGGTGCATTGTTTATTTGCCATGTAATATATACACCCAGGCATTGTACAATATAGTTGCCCAGGTGAAAA